CTTATTGTCTCTGGTGGTGCATGTAATGTAAAGTTAAACATTTTCTTCACAACATGATAAATTGGTGTATATCAAAACCCAACAGTCTATAAACTAATTCAGATTAGCTCTAACTCCCCCAATTTCAAAATGAAATTATTGATTACATGTTAATGTTTCAGTGACAATAAACTAAGAATATGCTGACACTGAAAAGGGGCTGCATAATGAGTACCATTACTTTTGATACTTTAAGTCCATTCTTGCTGATAATACATCTCCAGGACTTTTACAGCGTGGTATTGCTTTCACTGCAGTTAAGTATATAAACCACGACTGGTTGCAGGTGTCAACACGTGCCCTTCGGCCTGGTGCGGGGCATGAAGACCCGGAGCGGTGAGGTGGTGTTCCTGGAGGACGTGCTGGACGAAGCTCGGGACAGGATGCTACGCAACATGAGCCAGGCAAAAAGTAAAACCTGACGCACTGTAGGCAGTTATATGACAACACAGAACACATGACTCAAAAAAGTGTATTTGTATACTTATCTTAAAGAAATGAGACCGTCACTGTTCTTTTACGGTTCTCTGCATTTTACAGAGTGTCCTTTGGTCACAGTGTGTGCCACAGTCAGTTTTATTTGCTGTGTATTTTGCTGCTTTACAGCATCAGGTGGGATTTTCTGATTGCATCCCACAACAGGATGTTCATCCAGTGCAGCATTTCTAGTAGTAGTACTGGGAGATTTGATTTATGTCACCAATCCATGCTTCATACTGTATATTTGAAGCAGCTATTGAATATGTTGTGCATTCAGATGGATGGTATTGTACTGACACTGATATCTATACTGATACTGCTTATTGATACTGATACTTATCAATACTGGAAAAAGATTCACTCTTTTTTATAATGACAAATATGCACGATGGTACTAAGAAAACTGCCCAGTGTGGGATAAATGAACCTGTATTTGGGGAGGAGAAGTGACAGCAGCTCGTGCTCTTTCCACAGCAACAAAGGAAATGGACGACCCAGAGGACACAGCGGAGAAAGTGGGAATCAGCGCATTGATAGTTCAGGTGAGCTGGAAACTTTACCTCTAGGCTCTACTATCAAATATTCAACTACCTGTTTCATTTCTTAATTTGTCTGCACAATTTGATGAGACAGACTCTTGATTCTGTTTCAGGACTTTAAAGGTCCGCTGCAGTCCGACTATACGTTTGACTGGGACAGGATGCTGCAGGCTCAGGGAGACACAGGAGTCTTCCTTCAGTACACACACGCTCGACTCTGCAGGTCTGTATTCATCAGCTGCTGAAAATAACTCTTAATTCAGGAATTCAAATGATTTACGGATTAATCTAGTCTTTAACTGTCTTAAATTGTGTTGTTTTACAGCAACAACAGTAAGAATTCAAAAGGTTTTCAGTTGATGATTTTAAACAGGTGTTTTTGCTTCGTTTTTTTGTTTTTTGTTGATTCATTTTATTTGAGTTTAATTAGGGATAATGTTCCTTTAATAAGATTAAAATTATATGTAATAGTTTGTTTTGTGTGTTATTCAGCCGACACATTACATTCAACTCTGCATTACAAATTGTACTTGGAGTAAATGTACTTGAGTATTATCATCAAAATGTACCTAAAGCTCCAGTGTGTTTAGGAGGCTCTATTACCAGTAATGGAATATAAATGTTTTCAGTAGTGTGTAATCACCTGAGTTGTTGCGTTTTATGTTAGAATGAGACGTTTTTATCTATAGATAACACACAAGAACGTTTTGCAAGTTTCACAGCCACCGTAGTTTCTTCTACGCTCCTCGCCGCCCATTCTCATTCCCAGGTCGACAGAGTTCAGTTAGTTGCAATCTGTAACTTCACCACTAGATGACACTAAATCCTACACACTTGTCCTTGCTGTAATCATTCCTCCTGTTTAGTGTTGAGGATTAAAAAAAGCAATAAACAAGAGATTAATCTTTAAACAAACATCCATATATTTATGGTACTGGATACAAATCCTCTCAAACAAGATGAAGTTGCTCATTCACACCTTTACTGTTGTGTCCTTGTTGCAGTTTAATACAGAAGAATGAAGGTGTAGAGGCAGCTTTATTCAACCCATCCCTTTTACTTGAGCAGACAAGTATAAATATCATTCAGCACCTCCTTCGGTAAGCAGACTCCTTTTTAAATGATAATCCTTTCATTCCTCTGCATCTTATTGAATGTGAGACGGAGAAAGGCTGTCAGTGCGACAGTGTGTTCAATATTTACTTAACATTTAAAGTATCCCTCAATCTGCTCTTTGTAGTTATGATGAGGTGTTGTATCAGTCGGCCCAGGATCTGCAACCCAAACACCTTGTCAACTTTTTATTGAAGCTATGGTAAGGACCAGGATGTTAGTCCTGTGGGGTCGGGAACTTTTCCTGTTTGTTTACCAGGTTCAATCATCCCAGTGCAACTATTATTCCTTTCCAGCCACCTGATTGCCTCAGCACACAGAGAGCTGCCGGTAAAAGGAAGCTCCCGGGATGTTGCACAGGTAGAAAGACAAGACAAACAAAACACTTGGAAATAATTACCATAAACAAACCCCTATCAGCCTCTGTAGTATATTAAACAGGTCTGGATTGCACTATGACATACTTAGAGTAACATACGGTATAATATGATATTTTCTTCTGAGCAGTAGTTGTAGTATCAGCAGGTTGACGCAGTAATTTTAGCTAACATTAGCCTCCATTACTTAAAGTAAAGTGAAAAATAATCGTTTATTGCTTCTGAATTCAAGTTTGTAGGTTCAGCTAACATCAGTGATTTACAACAAATTAAAATGCTCTTAAATGCAAAAAATGTAAAATATATATATATTAAGTGTTCTCTTTTCTAAATGTCAACAGGCACGGTTACGACTCTTCAGCGGAGCCGGTTCGGTCCTGGCCAACGGGATGAGAATCCTGGGAATCACCCCGGTTGAGAAAATGTGACACTTGGTTTGGTATTACTTAATCTGCTGTAGGTACCACACTGACGCTGCTACAATTAATGTGTACTGTAAATAAAAGGCCTTATATATTTTCAAAATAAAATCATGAATTGAAATGTTTCACCAACAGAAGCGTTTGCTGTTCCCAGTGTTGTCTCAGGTATTCCAGTCAGCGTGAATCAAAATAATATCAGATGATAAGTGTCCTGAGGCCTGAATGTGTAACCTGGCAATGATGCCATGCACGTCATATCGAGGTTAGACTGGTAGAACTGGTTCAGCTGAGTTTCACCTGAAGGCCTTTTTATGAGCAATGGACTGTGAAGTCATTACTGGAGTAACTGACAAAATGTTGATGCGTTTAAGCTCATGGATAAAATTATTTAAGAAGTGTTTGCTCTTTACCCTCAATTCATATAAATGTGGTCGAATCAAGAGAATGTCAGTATAATGCTGTACAGGTACGTAATAAACTGGCACCTGTACATGATATTGTTGTAGAAGACTAAAGCTGCAAGTCCAAGGCAGAAAATCAGCATCCTCACCAGCTGATGATCCACGTAGAAGAAACTTCTGCTTTTGTCTCATGCTCACTGCTCAGAATCTATAAATATACAAATTTTGTTCATTTCTAACGTTTTCCTGCTGCTCAAACATCCAACTGTAGGAACAAGAAGAGGGACATAGTTTTGAATAGACAATTAATCCAAAGGTACGTTGGTGAGTCGTAACTCGCTTTTATCACACTTCCATTCAGTTTTAATAAAGGCTACAAAACAGAAGGCGACAGATGTGATACAAAAAGAGTCACAAGACACTGGAGAGATTAAAATTATAAACATGAGATTCTACATGCAATCTGCCATCATCCTTCTTTCAAGTATGTTTTCCTGTGTGGGTTGGGCACATTCAAAATCAGAGCTATGTGGTACGGACATAAGACACTAACTGCACAGTGTAAAACAGACTGAAAAGAAAAACTCCACGATGAGGAGAAGTGAGATTTATATGACGTTTATGGAGGCATCAAAATAAAAGTAAAGTCCTGTTACTACTTATCGCTCCAGCATTGCTGAAGATGAATGACTTCACTGATTGCTTCAGATTATCTACAAACTTCAAGAGCAGCAACCTGCAAGAGCCGGTTTAAAAAAAAAGTGTTCAAAATAAATGAAAAACTGCTCAAATCTGCCGTCAAAAACATTAAGATTTGTTTTGTTTTTTTACAAATCTGTAAATTCATAGTCCTGTCACCAGTCCCATGTGAGTGGAGGAGGGCTGGATTTAACATTAAAGTGAAACAAAAGCTCTATGTGAGTCAACTCAACTGAGCGTTCATGTGGCTCCCTAATCCCTCTCCCAGTGTAGGAGCTCTTTTAGGCCCTTAGAAAAAGTTAGACCCCTACACAGACCTGGTCCACCAGCGAGGGAGACTCCTCTGCTGCAGGTCCGTGATTCACACAGTGATCAGTTTCTGTTTGGATTCGTTGTCTGTGTCTTGCCGGCTCAGTTTGGATGTGTCTTGCTTTGGAAGTCCGTATAGGTAGATGGAAATGCACACCAGGAAGGCTCCAGAGGCAAATGAGATCGCTGCACAAGAGGGACAGAAGAGCAAAATGAGACACTTTCATATTTAAAAAATAAAGACATTTGTAGAATAAAACAATCTGTTTCTGAATATTCTTTGAAAGATTCATCAGTGGGAGAACAAATTATTTTACAGGTCCTGAAATTTCCTACAAATTTCTTAGAAAATAACTGATTGGGTTATAATATCAGAAATAGAGACAAAGTTAGTTAAGTTTGTACGTGTGTATAAGCAGTTGTTGACGGACTGAAAGCTCCTTTTAAACCCAAGAAAACATTCATATTGTTGAACTGTATGTTTCCCAGTGAGTGAGTGTTAAACTAGCAATTAACTGTAATTAATTAATTGAAAGTTTATCAATTCAGTTTCCATTTTCTCTATAAGTACCAAATTGCAGAAACATTAGTGCTGTAAATTCTAGTATTTTATTTAATCTCAAAGCACTTGTTGCTGTTTGCACTTTAGTTGAGTCAACCTGTAATGAAATGCGCTTTATACATTTATATACACTACCGTTCAAAAGTTTGGGGTCACCCAGACAATTTCATGTTTTCCATGAAAAGTCACTTATTCACCACCATACGTTGTTATCCTCCCGTGTTCTAATGGTAGCAATGTTGTTTGCTCATTGCTCAGAAGGCTAATTATGATTTAGAAAACCCCTTGTGCAATCATGTTCACCACCATCTGAAAACAGTTTTTAGCTCGTTGAACAGAGCTACAAACTGACTCTTTGAGCAAGATTGAGTTTCTTGGAGCATGCACATTTGTGGGGTCAAATTAACGCTTCAAAGGCCAGAAAAAGAGAACTTCAATCCTGAAAACTCGACAGTCATTTTCTGTATCTTAAATGAAGGCTATTCATGCGAGATTGCTTAAGAAATTGAGATTTCCTACAACGGTGTGTTATAATCCCTTCAGCAGGAGCAGCACAAAACAGGCTCTACCAGAGTAGAAAAGAATGGGAGGCCGCGTTGCCACCACTGAGCAGAAGAATGAAGTACATTCAGAGTCTAGTTTGAGAACAGACGCCTACAGTCCACCAACTGGCAATCTTATTATAGTACCCTGCAAAACACCAGGTCACATCTGACCAGTGAAGAGGCGGCTGCGGGACTTCTGGGCTTTCAGGGCAGAGTGGCAAAGAAAAAAGCCATATCTTGAAACTGGCAATAAAAGAAAAAGAATTTTAAGATGGGCAAAAGAACACAGCATTGGCAGAGGAGACTGGGAAAAAGTGTTGCTGGACGGATGAATACAAGTTTGAGGTGTGTGGATCACAAGAAGAACGTTTGTGAGACGCAGAACATAAAAGAATGCTGGAAGAATGGACCTGACCATTCTGTTAAGCATGGTGAGGTAAGTGTGAATGGTCTGGGGTTTGCTGTTTGGTGGCTGGTAGGGGGAAGATTTGTACAGGGTAAAGGGAATTCTGAATAAGGAAGGCCTATCACTCATTATGCAAACGCCATGCCCATACCCAGTGGGACGCGCTTTGATTGACCATTTCATCTACAACTGGGACAATTGACCCTAAACAACTCAAATTGTTGCGACTATTTAGAAGAGAGCAGGCAGGCTGGTAATTCTATCGTAATGGAGTGGCCAGGCGGAGTCACCAGATCTGACCCATTGAGCTGTTGTGGGAGCAGCTTGACGTATGGTACGCAAGAAGTGCCCATCCAACAATCCATTGTGGAGCTGCCTTCTGGAGCGTTGGGGTGGCATTTCTCCAGATTACCTCACAATAAGACTAGAATGCCAAAGGCTCTGCAATGCTGTAATTGCTTGCAAATGGGGATTCTTTGACGAAACGCAAGTTTGATGTAAAAAAACTCTTATTCAAATCAAATATTATTATTCTACCTTGTCAATGTTTTGACTCTATTTTCTATTCATTTC